AGAAAAACAAGCGAAAGTGTCCGACAATGATGACACCGATAAAGCTGTTTACGTTTCTTTAAGAACGGTCTGCCGGAACTCCACTATCTGGTCCCATCACCCAATGCAAAGCATACAACTCAGATATGACGACTTTGAATTTAAGGCCAGTTCAGGGTGGTTCTTGCGATGGCAAAGAAGACACGCTATCGACACACGCAGTCTCAATCCAAGACGAAGCTCGATCTGGGAACATTGACGCTGTCGGAACTTTTCCCGAAAAACTGAGAGAAATTATCTATGAAGGTGGTTATTTTGACGAACATGTTTATAATTGCGATGAAACTGGTTTATTTTGGAAGCTGTTACCGTCGAAGTCGCAAGCAACAGCAAGCGGCCCACATAATATCAGACCCAAACAAAATAATCAACGCAATGTTTACAGCAAACATAATCATGATTTTATTCGAATACTGCCTGACACATGTGATGATACATCAATTAACTAAACCGAGGGTTTATATGTGCTTTTTATATGTTTTTAAATGCACGACCTCCCTCTTTCACGACGTCCCTCGGTAAGTCGCGGCCCTCGATAAGTCGCGGTTTTTGCTTGGATCCCAACACCCGCGACTTAGCGAGGGGCCACTGTACAAGTAAATACACACCGTAGAAATAAATGGTAAATACATCAGAAATAAACCATGTATTTATAGTAAGTATTTACCTGTATTCACAATGTAATCACCATGTATTTACAAGAGTGCAATTACAGGTGAATAAAGGTATGAATACAGGAAATGTATTTCTGTTTCCTGTTTTCATGTGTATCACCCTGTATCTACCTGTATTTACCAAAAATACAGGCTTTAATAAATGTCTGTACTTAACAATATTTTCGCTATTTCACGTAGTGCATTAATAGGAGTAATAGGAGATGGATTTGTAAAAAATTATGATTTAGTGCTTTTACACGAGAATTGGGCAGTCATACTGAATCAAATTACAAAAATAATGTTCATGTTTATGTATCTATTGGTATACTGTCTTTGTACAAAATTTAAACTGAAATGTTCATTGTATTCATGGGAAAGTAGGCATTGGTATAATGAAAAACACCAGTCAGCCATATTAGTTTGAATCACAGAAAAAATATGACATGCAACTATAACCCAATATGTATGATCATCATACTTTGATCCAAATTGGCCTAGTCATCTCTGAGAAACAGCTCCGGACAAGTAAAAATGACGATTTAGCGCTTTAACATGAAAATTGGGCGTCGGCCAGCCATATTGAATTGAATCACAAAAATAATGTTGGTGCAGATGTATCTCTTGGTATATTATCTTTGTACAAAATTTAAACAGATAAAGATAAAGTAGCATGGGTACCATGAAAAACAAGATGGCCACCAGTCGGCCATATTTGTTCGAATCGAGAAAAAATATAAAATTTTTGAAAGAAAACAAGCAGCCTGTCGGCTGAGATAGCTTTGCTGTTAGCAATGCACATTTCAATTAAGAACTGAAGATATCATTAGAAAATGAACAAGTCATTGTCAATGACACGTCCCCGTTCCGTTCATATTTGAGTGACATATACATTCAAAGCAGATCATGACCGAAATGCACCTGCATATGTATAACACATTGTACTAAATCTGAACAAAATCCATCCATGTATGACTGAGATCTGGTTCCGGAATTGTGAAAATACGTGATTTTAATGCATTTTCGGTCTTAAAATGGCCATCATTCAGCTATTGTTAAGCAGATCATGAAACAAATGCACATATCTATTTGTGACATGATGTACCATGTGTGTGTGAAGTTTGAACTTGATCAATCCAGACATGTCTTGGATACGGATCCAGAACTGAATTCTTTAAGAAAATGGCCGCCAGTCGGCCATTTCGAACTTGATCCGAGAAAAAAAAATGACGTGCATCAAGGTCCTATTATGTTTAATGTAAGTACCAAATTTGAACGAAATC